TGAAGATCTTTTTACAGTCTGACTTCACTGACCTATAGGCTTAAAACAGAATTTTCAAATACCATTATTTGCTAATTTGTACAAGTTTTTGACCATTGCAAATCTAAATAGAAAAGTAATTCATTCCTCAACAGTGTTTTCAAGAAATAAGCTATTTAGCAGAYCTGAGACTAATTTTGTGTGCAAAAATTTCTGAATAATGCAGTTTTTTTAGCTTACAGAATAAGCATAGTGAACATACTACAATGTACAGTAATATTTATATTAGAATTATATCCAATTAAGTCTATATACTGTCTAACACTACAAAAAATGAGAAAAAAAACACATTCTACCAAATTTCAACAGCTGCTATTCTAAATATGTGAAGATGTCTAATAGCTTAACTGAGTAAGTGTCCAGTTAAGATGAGCATGTAAATCTTCAGTGGAGTCAAGGYCAAAGTCATACCCATAGCCTACAGGCACATCATCATTCTAGATGGCTGCTTAGGGTCCTATTTGGGGTCACTGATGTTAATGGAGCTTCAGGCATTTGCGCTAACGTGAGCAGAATTGGATCCAAATTTGATCCGAACTTATCAAGCTGTCAGAGTTATGAGTAAATGACATTAGTCTGCCATGATATGTACCTGGGGTTCAGAGAATGTCGTCGATGGGAATTTGGGGTAATTAGTGAGGGCACCTAAAYGTCTGGATTGAAAATGGACTCATTAATTTCAGAGTGTTAAAACCAAATCAATATTTAGGGAAACATAACTAAAATCATTCAATATTGCTTATTTTCCAGAACCCGTTTTGGTTTTCTCAGTCTCTAGCTGGAAGTGTTTCTCATCTTAGTCTTAACTATCTCCTTAATTTACCCTGCTATATCTTCTGCAAGAATTTTGCAATGAGGACAAAATAGGTTTTTATATTGGTTACAGCACTGAGGACAGCATGGGAGAGCAGGCATGTAGGGGGCAAATGTGTCACCAAAGCAGTATGTAATAACTGCAAAAGAAACTTTAAATGAAGCRTTCAAGGTGAAGTGTTGTAGCTGATGTTACTTCTTTCTCACTTGTGGGTCCTCTCACAGAGAATAGTTAGTAACAGAAGAGATTCTGCTTTCAGCTCATATAGGAAAAACCGTAATTTCTTGAATATAATGTTAATGGCTTTAAGAATACAATAGTCTATTTTTTTTTCCTTTTTAGAAGGTGGAACTAAAGAATCCCTGCATAACAGCAGAAAAAAATTATCCTYTCAAAGAACTGCTGGGAGTCTCTGCCTCAGACACTTGGGCGTCAAAATTGTTCTTCTTCTAACAATTGGCAGGCAACCTTTTTATTAACAAAGAAGTTCTTCCAAAATTCCTTTGCATTATTCTGGCATAAATTCTACTAAGATAACTACAGCAAAATTGTGCATAATTGATTAAAGACAAACATCCCAAACACTGCAAATACCAGACCTTTCTTAGCCAAGGCACTTGGGTTGGTGGTGGGCMGAAAAATTGACAAGACCTAATATTTTGAACAAATAATTGAATGCAATCTTCCTACAAGTCCAGATGTTGAATTTAAGTTGTAATTCCATATATTCTTCAGCCACACCCTATTGTTTTATAATATTATGCATATTCCTAATATTATGAAAGAATCTGGAGAAGCAAAAGACAAACAGAAGGCTCTAAAGCGAGATGCCAGGATTTAGCTCGGAGGGAAAAAAGTCGTGTCACTAGTGACAACTGTTTTCTCATATGTGCAAGAATCACCAAGGAGAAGGTAAAAGCAAAGGAGTTGATGGAATAAAAATAAGGAGAGAGAGAGAGAGAGAGAGAGATACAAAAAGTGGGGAGGGTGTTTGTACATTCCAAAGTACATTCCAAAAAGCTCAGAACTTCATAAAAATACAAGATGAAAGAAACTAATATGGTTGATCTGCTCAAGCAGTTTGTCCTCCCAAACGTAGGGAGGATTGTTTGAGGACCATTTTCAAGGAAGAACTGCAAGCTTTCCTATTGGAAATAATAATGGAAGTAACTAGGACCGCAGCTGAAATAGGGTCAATATGAACAGATTTTACTTTTAATCCAGAGGATAAATAAATAGATACTGTAGAGATGGGGAATGCTGGAGCATTTGAGGGACTTGATGCTTCACAAGTACCATTAATACATGATCCTGGGGAAGTGAGAGCAGGGATAAAAGACAACAGAACTTTGATTTCTGAAGCATTTATTAGGAAAAAAAAACTTCATAAATCTTCATACTATGCCAAMCAGCAAAAGCAGTAGCAACCAAAGATAGGAAGCGGCATATAACTGGAGTAGTTACACACAAAGAAGGTGAATATACTTAGGGTTCTCTTATGAAATATGGAAATATCAAACAACTGGCCCATCACTGCAAGCAAAACTCTTTTTTTCTATATATTAGTGAGAAAGAAACAGAAGTCTTTTAACTATCACTTCTATATTTTCATCACACTATTACATAATAAACTCAACAAGGTCAGGTTGGCCAGCCTTTGAAGTAGAGAAATGCCCAAAATATGCAAAGAACCTTTTTTTATTTCCTCTGACAAGCCTGTCCCATCTGCACTTAAAGCAAACCTTCTCATTAAGGGAAGAGTGACACCATCTTTTTATGATTTTACCAAAGTATACCTTGAGTAATTAAATTATTTTTACCCAAATTCTTCCTGCATTTTTTTTTTGCAGGGAAGAATAATATTTACTATTGTATTAAAGGTACCTGAGGAGCATTGCTTCATTTGATTACATCGTCCCATTTCATCCCAAAAGTGACCACATTCATCACTGTTAAACTGCTTCTTGTATATCAGTGACAGGAAAAAGCATTTTCTTCTTTAAAGGTATCAAATAAAACTAAGATACTATTATAAATGTACCTCTCAACTGGTATTGATTGACAGATTTAATTACTGGGAAGCAAATCACAGAGTAAATCGTTATTATAATGACACACAGAATGCTCCTGCAATTAAGGCCTGGCTTTCTGGTTTAAACCCCACTGTACATTGTAATATTTCAGTAGTCTAAAATGCCCCGGGGCTTTATGAACAATATGCTATTAGTACAGATAGAAAATAATATATATATTTTATATATATATATTATATATATATATCCTAAGAACAATGTATAGATTTCTGCTTTTTCCTACCGAACTGGAAATTATGTTCTTCTGTTTTGAGCATACATGTAAGAAGTAACATTTTCAAGCAGTAAATAGATGGAGCCATTTCACTATATTAAAAAATGATATAGTACTTGTACATTTGGAAATTGTTATTGAGCGTGCAGCATAATTACTTTTCCCAACCTCATTTCTTTTGACGCTGATTCCATCATTTATCTACAAGGGATTTTGTTTCCCTACTCACAATCATGTCAATGCAAGCATACTGGGATACACTAACAGTACACAGTAACAGAGGAAAACACCCTGTCTTTATTTCATAGTGCCTTACATGCCATAATCATCCCAAAGCACTGTAAAAGATTTTTAGGCACAGAATTTTTTCCTCACATAAAAATAAAGTATTTTAGATGTATTTGTGAAACTAATATTTTAAATATACAGAGACTGAAAATGATGGAATGTTATGGTGAAAATTCACTGGTTTTGCATGAACTGTGGATGTGTGTCAGACAGGCTAACAGAACATAGAGGATTTAGGAAGTCAAATCATTTCTTCCTCTCAGTTCGCAGCCTTGTAGCCTTCCCTTCTCCAGTTACACCTTTTTTTTYCTTAGAGTAACCAAAATAATTTTTACATAGATGAACCATAAAATGTTGGAATAATACTTTTAAATAAAGCATAACAACAGTTCAGCATTAGTAAATTAATTTTAACAGCATTAGGAAAAAAAAAAAGAAAGATTAAATACCACATCTTCTGACTCAGGCATTTTCTAAGTACAGCTTTCCTTCTCACACTCCTTATGAGAGACCATGACAATCGCTTATATCCAATAACAGAAAGTCATAATGGAAAGGAAAAGGGAAAAAAAAAAAAGAAAAAGGAAAAAAAAAAAAAAGCAACATGCTGGGCAGGACAGATGCCAGTAATAAAACCCATTCTGTAGAAATAAAGGGGAGATAGTGGCGGTTTCTATGGTAATAAGTAAAAAGTAGAAGAATMTGATATGAAAGTATCATGTAATATTTCTTTGGAAAATGCAAAGGAACAGAGTTGCCATGCAATTCCCTAGAAAATGTGTATTCCTCTAGATGCATCCAGTACCGTTGTGAAAAGTAAAATACAAACTAAGTTAAAATTAGTTAGTCATTTGTTTCAATTATTACCATAAGAACAAAAAGATATGTATCAAATATTCAAATAAATAAATTTAGACTACTTTGTATTTCCTTTTATTTTAATCCTTCCTTGGAAAAGGTTAAGGAAAAGAAACAAAAATCACTTTTTCCAAACACATGATTTTCAGTTCAGGAGATGACCCCAAAATTCATTGTCTTTCCCAGTTTCATACACATATGAAGTTTATTTTACACTACATAAGAACAAAGATGTTACCTTCATGCAATAACAGCTGCTTATGAAAGTCACTAACTTCTTCAGAGCAGAGCTTTACATCCCTGTGAGTCCATAGGAAATTTTTACTGACAGTATTGGATTTTAGGTAAGGAATCTGAATGATTCATCAAGCAAATGCATCCAATAAAACAAAACTATACCACAAATACATACATATAAAAAGCAGAAGACACTGATATATGTTATTTGCAATAGAACATACACAGTGACAGGCAAGCAGACTTACCAGGGAGAGCTGCTTCCAAGGCTTGTGCAGGGAAGCCATCGTCATCACCAATGGATTTAACAAGTGCAACTCCTGATTCCCTTGCACAATTCTAGGCCTGCCTAGCTTATATCCCTTAAACCAGCACAGCYCTGCTCTTACAACATCTAAAATGTATCTAATCAACAATAAATATAACAACATAGCAAAAATTATCAAAAACAAATCCAAACAAACTTCAATAGCAAACCTCTGTTTTGAGTTGGAGAGAGAYGTCTATCTTCTATAGATTGCTGCAGTCTGTAGAAGAAAGAATCAAAACRTTAAAAGGGAATAAAATTTATTATTTGCTACTATGAATAGTGTTAATGGGCAAAGAGCTTCTTGACTGCAGGGCTATGGTTTAAGCTTAATTTAATATAGTTTGATATGTTAAATGTAATAATCACAACCAGGGATCAAGGCCAGCCTCAAGACATCCACAGCAATGGCCACAGATCAGATTTTGATGCTTTGCAGCTGATGCTTAAATGCAGACTCATTAGAAATAGATGATTTCAAGATAGGTATAATCTAAAAAGCTTTAAAACAAAGACTAGATCAAATCATTAGTATCTGAGAAAGAATTCTGGTTTTATCTTCCTTATGTTACTTTGGATCTATATAGGTTGCTCTGAGGAATTATATTCATACAGGCATAAATCCCATTAACTCCAGGCTGCAATGAATTATTACAAATCATGTCAGTCATCAATGTCTCATTAGAGATGGAATTTGAATATTTTCTTTCTTGAAAACCTACATTCCATCAGGATGCACATATTTGATGTATAAAATCACAATGCAAAGCTTTGCCTGAATTAATAAAGGACAATCATTCACAATAAAACTAAGCACTTACCTTGCCACTACTCCACCACCTTCTCACGGCTGATTTTACTCCGTAAAGTAGATATAAAATCTAAGAATCATGAAGGATTGAAAAGAAACTCATTTAATCCTTTCCCTTGCCCAAAGCAAAATCTAAACTATTCACCCCACTTGTCCCCCAAACCTCCAGTGACAGAGATTCTACAATTTGCCTGGACCACCTATTCCAGTACTTAGGCAGTCAGTATCCTGGCATTTAAAATGTTGGATTTCTCTTCAATGTTAAATTTAAATCTCCCTTGCTGGAAGTGGAGCTGTTCTGTCCCATTCATCCACTGCTGTTTCTTGTGCCATTTTCAGATACRTTTTGTGTATTTGAACACAACCAGCGAGGATAGTTCCCCAAAGCCGCTCCTCTTTTGCCTAAACAGCTGCATTTCCTCCAAATTTTCAGGTTGGTCCTGTTTCCTGGAAGGCTATTCTCGTGGATCTTTTCCTGGTTGTCCAAAACTTTCCTGAAATAGGGCAATCAAAACTGAACTAAATTCTCCAGTTTAAATTTTATCCATTTCAAATACAGTGGATGTTTTAGTTAATACATCTTAATAAGGATGCTCCTATTGAGGTATCTAGATACCGTACTTGATCCTTGGACAGGAGCATGACACTGTTGACCTGTACTCAGAATAGCAAGCAGATTCCATCAGAATCCACCCCAACAAGACTGTATTTACCAATTCTATTTTTAATCTCTTCCTAGGAACTACCAAAGTTCAGCTGAAAAATAATCTCGCCTGCCTGATATCCTTGGGCTGAAGGTCTGCATTTTACCTCCCATGAAAACACCTTCTATTTTTCYCTTTCATTATCACTAAGAACTTAAACCAGGTTTATCTCCTCACACATTGAAAGCAAGGGTGCATCTTATTTCTCTTCTGTCCTTGCTAATAGGGTTTCCCACTCCATATCCAGATTTTTACCATGAGATGTATGCAATGAAGTGTGCCTGTTGGGCCAAACAGATCACAGCCTGGATTAGGTAAAATTTTGCCTTGAGCTTCTCCTCTTTATTTTGACACTTTTTGTGTAAATCTATCTTAATAAAAAAAAAAATCACTTCATGTGGTAGTTTGTAATCAACTCAGTTCTAGTCTGAGTTTGCATTTTGAATTTAATTAATACCAGTAGTTAAGATTTTATCTGCTGAATTTGGTTTTGGTGCATAAACAGATGCTTTAATGCTTCAAGATAGTGCAAGATGTTAGCAATTTAGCACCTCTAACATGAAAATAAATCATCCWTAGAAGCATTTTTACTAATATAAATGATCACAGAAACACTTATTACTATAAAAGGGTCACAGAACTTTTCTAGAATGCAAATCTTAGACGCAAATGCTTTGAACAGCTCAGCAATGCCAGATATCAAGCTAGGGAAATGTCATTGCTAGTCTGTCACAAGCACATACCCCTTTATGAAAGCACAGCTATAGCACTAGAGTGCTATTATCTTAGAAAAAATACATTCTGAGGTTACTTTATAGACCTGTAATTCTGAAATATATCTGTGTCAATTAATGGACTGTCTGATACAATTTGGAAAGTCTCCTTATACTGTCATTTAATTTCTCTTAAGATCATTTATAGTCTAACAAGAAAACCTTTTAGGCCCACTGTCTCTTATTGAGAAATCCTCTAATTACTATTATAGTAAGATATTTTATTTAACTTACTAATATAAATTAGGTGCATCTTTTGTGGAATATGCACCTTAAAACAAATACATTAGAATAATATTCAAATTATATCTTGTTTAATGTACACTTGTACATTAAGCATATATACACACACATACATCTTGTGCATTTTCTGAGATAAATCATGTTATTTGATAACAGTTGTAGAGTATGAATGTTATGCTTGAAGCAATACTTATTGAGACCACGAAGGCAGTTTAGGAAAATGGAATTACTCTAGAAGTGTGAGCAAGAAATGTGTCGAACATTTACTTTCAATCCATACGATCCTCTAGCAGGACATGCACTTTGTCAGCGAAATACAAAACWGACACAATTTACTAGTTTATGTAAAAAGTAAATTTCCTTGAAAAAATAAAGACTTGTAGTGAACAGTAAAGAAACTATTGTCCCTATCCCTCTCTACCCTGTCCCAAGTTTTAATAATATAATGAAGTCTATAGAAATAAGATTCCTCTGCTACAGCATTTCTAACAAACGTTCATTTTTCTTCTGCTACCTCACATGTTCAAGAGAAAAAACACAAGGAAAGGCTTTTTTTTTTTTTTTAGCTTTAAAGGTACATAGATGTCAGATCTCCTCACAATGAAACGTAAAAGATGAGGTAAAAGCATAGGGTGAAGTATGAGCTTGGCTTTTTGGAGGGAAGTCATGTATCACAAATCTTTTGGACCCCTTCATACCTCTGCTGTTACTTTTTCCATTATGAACAGTATTGTGAGACCCCCAGTATCCCTCATTCATCATACACAGAATACTCCTACGTTCCGTGTTACATTAAGCAGAACATACTTCAAATGCCTGTGAAATCCTGGCAAAATCCAATTTTGGCTGTGACTGACACATAATTATAAGATGGAAAAAAAGCAAGTCTCTGCTACCTTGACTACTTTTGTAATGTTGTTGCTTTACCACCCTGCTAACTTTGCTGCTGTCATAGCCCACCACACTCCTCTCCTATAGTAAACTCTGCCTCAAATCTGGAAAATTGAAGTTTAAAAATGCAATTTCAAAAATCTTTTTTTTTTTTTTTTTCAGTAATGAGACTATGGAATATTAATTCTATCTGTATGTAAAATCCAGGGTATCTGGTTGCATCCAGAAACATCAAATTCTGGACTACGGGATATTTTAGAAAATGAAGACAGCAACTTTGGACCAGTAACAGAAACGTTTGGGGAAACCAAGTAAGGCATTAGAAAAATGTGCTAAAAATACATATGCTCCCAGAGCAAGAAGGTAGACAGGACCATTCTGCAGGAGCTGATGCCTAACTACTTGTATAAATCAAGGTAGAGGGGGAATGAATGCACAGGTGGAAATAACAACATACCTCGAGACTTAAGGAAATGTCTGCACTGGCTATTTCCTTTTTARATTTTTTGTGGTCTCTAGTTTTCTAGTTTTCTCTCTTCTTTCCTAAAAAAGCACTTCCTGCTATTTCCAGTAGCTACACTTCCACGTGCTGCATTTCCATGACTGTGGTATATTTCCTTGTACCAGGACATTTCCAACAACTGGAAAGCTTTCAGAAAATAAAACAAGATGCTGAGGAAAACTGCAAAGCTCAATTTAAGWTTTTCAATATAGGCAGTGAATCTATTCCTTGATTAGTTATATGCCTTAAGCAACTCATTTAGTCTCTGCAAAACTTAGGTTTATTAACAATAAAGGATCGTTTTAAAATCTGATTTTCTATATTATTTGCAGAAAACATTAATGGTAACAGCAGTAATTCGCTGTGAGAAGTACCTAATCCTGGAATGATAAGCCCCTCATATTTTAATGTCAGRCCTTAAGTGTTAGACCTTAATGCATGTTAGCATTTTGCTAACATGCAGAAAATCAGTGAAAGAGGCAGTAGGAGGGTTCCAGGAGAGCAGGAACTGTGCAGTGCAGTAGATCTCCTGTATGCAGCTCACACTGATGACTGCTGAAGTGAAGGGCATTTTTGACAGTTTATTCTAAGGAAGGTGCAGTTGCACATGTGAAAATAAAGCATGAAGCTTCCGATGGTTACTGATTCCTTTCCATGCGTTTGCACAGCTCTATAGCATCCACTTGCCTAATACTTAAACTCTGTAATTTTTTTCCCCATAAATGTCTGTCTTCTAAATATATTCATAGCTGCACTTTCTGCTGCTGTCTTGACATGTCTAAATCCCTGTATGATGAGCAGTTCCAGACACTGCTCTCTCTAATATAACTAAGGTCTTTGACACAATCATTCATACCTTACGTATTGATAGATAGGTGGAGTTAGGTGATTCTTTCTAAGTTAAACAAAAGATTATGACTGCTGTATTTCACACTCTCAACTTCCTAAAATACACTTTCCTCCTAAAGTGCCCAAATAAGTTTTGCATATTAGTATGTATTATCACTGTAAAGGTTTACACGTTAATTATTCAAAGATCTCTCTCTCGAGCACATACACCCTTCTTTTCAATCTTATCACACTTTCTACACAAAGAGTACTGTCTGAAAAATGCTTTAATTGTCCAGTTATGTCCAGGAGACTGTACAATGGAGAGAGCATGTTGCTTTTTGCCATGGGGGACTAACCTGTTGCTCTTCAAATAGGGAAGGTGGAGCTTTTCCGATGGCCCCATCTAGCAGGAAGGAAACAGGGAGAGCTCAGGGAGAGTGAGATGGGCAGGTAGCTGGGAGCAGGTCAAGGTTCTGCTCCTGCTGCYCCTAGGAACACGGGCAGTTCTGCTGACTCTCCTCAGAACTGCATATAACATATGAGAATTTCACTGGGGTAGAAGCAGCTTCTTGAATGAATGCTCTAATTTACAGATTTCAAATTATCTGCTTTATCAAAATCCTTAGAGCCTAAAGAACAATTAACTCAGATACAAGACTGAAAAAGGACCAGAAATGTTCAAAAAAAAAAAAAGAAAAATCCAAAACTAACGATATAAAAACAGCCCAGAGCTCGGCATACACCACCTTTCTTAGTCTTTTACCATTTCAGAAACAACCACAGTCTTTCTGAATGCCATAATTCCCATGTTTAGAGAGAAGAAGTTAGACACTGCTGCTGAACTGAAGCTGAGAGTAAATGTTCACTGTAAATAATGTATTTCTCATAAGCTAACAAGCCACAAAATTGGCAGGGCTGTTTTAAGGAAATAAAACAACTGGACATAATTTTCTCAATCCATGAAATAAGGACAAAAGAATTTGGAAAAATACAGTTGTAAGCAAAAAAAAATTAAGCATAAATGAAGGCTGTAAACACATCTTTCCCCTCTTCCATTTTAGATCAATGATCCTACCAAAAGAGAAGAGGAAAAACGGGTTCCAAGACAATATTTTTTATCAAGTAGAGTTAGAGTTAGTAACCTTATTGCTTTGTTCACAGCAAAGAGCATTAGGGGGACATGGTAATTATTCCAGAAAGAATTAAAAAAAAAAATGTGCCTAAGTATTTTGTGCCTAAGCTTCTGAATTAGGGTTAAATTATTAAAGGGTGTCATTTCTCTCTTCATGTGTCATTACGCAGTTAACGTTTTTCGTAAATTATCTATGTATTTACAAAAAATTGAAATTTATGTATGGAAATATGATCCCAATTTTTAATTTCTTGACATAAGAATTAGATAGAAGCTGATAGATGCCATTAGAAACATTTAATTTAAGGCGGTGTAAAAAAAAATACAGTTAGCCTTAGATATGAAAGTCAATGTACCTTCTACAGGGAAAGGCTTATGGCTGTTCTGAAAAGATGAAGACAGATTCCAGAGAAACAAAGGTTTTGTGTTATCTCCTTGGTTTTTGTTTGGTTGTTTGCTTGTTTTTTTACTGAAAGAAGATAAACTAACTGAGGATTAAAAAAAAAAAAAAAGTCATAGACATCTGTGGGATTGTACTGCAAAAGAAAAGGGGTCCTTTTTGAACACACAAGATCATGAGGTCACACTCGGCCACAACTTCTCAAGTTCCCACTGCTTCTTCATATGAAAACGAAAGCTTTATATTCCACTGAAAAAGCAAACAACAAAATACACCCTTATTTATTCCCYCTCCCCCATTTTTTTTAAAGTTGCACAAGTTCTCTTAGCAAAAGCAGATACTTCTCATATGCACTGCAATAGAGAAAATCTTGCAATTTATTGTTATTTTGCACAATGATTTCCTTCTCTTTTTACTTCAAGGGTTGTGGTTGCAGTTGTAAACCATGTGTTCTTTCTAGATTAGAAAAATAAGACTAATGTTGAAATACAAACCAAATGTGCAAAACATTTTTCATACTAGAAGTCATGCTGCTATAATAAATTCAAGTATTTTAATGCCTAGTTTGCTATAGGAATGTGATATGAGTATTTATGAATTGTCGGATACTTATACAAGTACCTCACCTTACTTGGCCTTAATAGTCCAAGTACAGCCTTCATAGAACCTTAAAGACCTCTGGAAAAAGCTTGCCTGTAATAATCCAGCTGCCATGAAGGTCTACAAGAACTCTTTCCACATGGATCCCATCATTAAATCTAAAAAATTAAAGGCAACAATTCTCTTCTGCATTTACCTTAAACTGTATATCAATCTTTGAAAAAGTGAATGGCTCACACTGCACAGTTCAGTACGGAACTGTATGATGTGGGAATCAGGAGAGGTTAAAAAACAAAAATAAACAAAAAAAAGTGGTCCAAAAAAGGAGTCCTGACCTAGCAAAGAGGTCAGAAGAGGAAAATAAGAAATACATTTAATTGCAGCCAGTGAGATCAGGAAAAGCTCCAGAGAGCCCTTGTTTTCAACCCAAAAGAAAAAACAACCTGATGAAGGAAAATGTGCTTTCTAGTTTTCAGTACTTCCAGGAGACTGAAGAGACTGAATACAGAGCAGTCAATAGGATGTGTTTTGTTCAGTAAGATATAYTTAAAAAAAAAAAGTTTTGTTTAGAATAATGAGTTTCTTGAGAGATGAAAAGCTGAAAGGGCAGCAGGAATACGGAGATGAAGGAATTGCAGAAGAAACAGAAAACTGATCTAAGTTTTCCTCCCAGCACAGTATTTTAAAGCGTAAGCACAAACCTGCTTGTAATCAGTCAGAAATTTTAACTGGGGAATCTAAGGATCTGTGTCACTTTAGTGCAGACACTTGAGCTCTTAACTAAGAGCTGCAGGACCAGGCTATTTAGTTATAGGGGTATTTCCACAGCTCCAGGTACAGGCCAAGCGAGGAGAGACAAAAATGCACCTGGAGAGCTGCTTTAACCCGTGGAGAAGGGACTGCCTTGGAGGGGGACACCGAGGGCTGGGTACACTTGGAACGAGCCACACGAGCTGGCCTGGGATCGGCAAGACAAGGACAGGCRACTTCCTCCAAGTTTTACAGCAGAACTGAAAACTTCAAACGTTTAAGGCCGCCTTAAGGCGCCTGGGGTGACGCATGGGGACACTTTACCTGGCGGCCCAGAGCCCCGCGCTCAGCTCGAGGCCCGCGGCCGCCTGCCCCTCCTGGCGCGCACGGAGGCCGCCCGACAGGGCGCTCGGCCGCCCGCGAGCCCCGCGGCGGCGGCACGGGAGGGGTTAAGCGCCGCCGAGGCCCGGCGGAAGGTTCCACTACAGGCGCGCGGGAGGGGGGTGCCCATTATTAATGTTTTGCCATGACACTGGCAGCAAAATGTGGGCAGGGAGCGGGGGAAACGGTCACGGCGAAGCACGGCGGGCGTTAAACGGGGCGGTGAAAGGGAGGTCAAAGGCGCAGGGCGCCCCCCGCGCCGCGGCGGAAGGAGGCCCAGCCAGGAGGCGCCGCCCGGCCGCCCCAGGGCTTCCCCGCGGCTCCCAGCGGCTCGGCCGCGCTTGCGGCTCGGCGCGGGTGGGGAGGCCGCGGGCGGGGACGGGCTCCGGCCTGGGCCTCGGCGGCGCCGCTGCCGCCCGGGGCCCGGCGGCTCCTGCAGCGCAAGGAGCCGTTGACGCCCGCGCGCGGGGTCAGCCGCGCCCGGCGCTCTCGAACGGGGCAGTAACGAGTAGGTTCGGATCCCCAGAGGCTTCCCGAGTGTCACGGCAAGGCAAAGGAGCAGGGACCCCATAAAATACTTGAGAATGCAGCATTAGTTGTAGCCCTGAGGACCGGTGCGAAGTTGCAGGGTATACAAATACTCGCTACTAAATGACAGCAAGCTAGAGACCATGATAAGGGTTCCAAGAAAATGAGCAATGGGATCCTTTGCACCTGGAAAGAAAGGCAGCTGAGGCTGCTCAAAACATTCATGGATGTGGCTGGTGCAAGAGCAGCTATTGAAGTTGCGATAAACATGACAGAGCTTTCTACTACACTAAAACTCCCTCTGGAGAATCACAGGCCTGTGTGATGCTTCCCGAGCAACTAGGAAAAGTCAAACCCACTTCTCTCCAGGAAATTCTGAAATCTGAAAGCCAACCACAGCCCGACCAAATACACAAATCTGGAGACTAAACTGGGGCAGATATGAGGGGTAACATCCTTGAGGAAGCCCATCTGTTTACCTTGTATTTTCTTCTACAGGTTAGCTGGGATGTTTCTTTTTTGTCCCTCTTTTTCTAGGTACCTGTGAACTGGTATAAACAGCAATATTGTAATTAACACTRAAAATACATTAAGGCCACGAAAAGAAATATGAAAAAAAATACATTGTAACCTTAAAGGCGGTCCCCTTGCAGCACACCAGTAGAACGGCACAAGGACCTTCCATTAATCATCGTTCCTGCTCTGTTTTTAGGGATAAATAGGGACTTCTGCAAATCAAGCTAGCAATCCAGAACCTTTCCAGAGCTCTACATTAACACATAACCAAAAATAACATTTAATTAAGAAAAAAGGCTGCAGTGTGTTTTTGCAATCAAAGAGAAGTGTGTATGCTAGGGGAGAACTATTAGATTAATAGCACCATAATTTTTGGCTTGGCACCTACACACTTGCAATAACTCATCCATTTTATATATACATATATTTATATATATACACATGTATGTGTGCATGCATTTTTTTATGGATGAAAACCATAAAAAGTTTAGTCCTTCTTAGTCCAAGAATTAGCAATTATTCTACAGCTAGCTAGACAAAATTTATATTACTACAGCCAGTTTATTACAGGTCTGTAACTTCTCTGGAATTACATGTGAAATTTTCTGTTTCAGGTATTTGGGCATCAATACATTTTGAATGAAATTTTGGGGAACTAGACAAATTACTACATTTGAAGAGCATTGTCCATAAAGAAGCCTAATATTAGGCTTCTCCAAACTGTTTTAAGAGAAGAAAAAGCTGGTAGAGAGCTGGTAAGAAAAAAAAAAAAACTTTCATTAAAATATATGTTTTTGTTTTTATGGAAGAGTAAAGGGAAAGTTATTAAAGGAAGTGGGGGGAAAAAAAATCCAGTAACTTCACAGTACTATGTAACACAATGTACACAATAATGAAAGAAAGCCTTAAAGATTGGTCATAAAATGTGGATATGAATCACCCCATCTACAATGTGTTATAATTTTGAGTTAATCATCAACAATGTGGGAATATTGAGGTCTTTTTTCAGTTTCTAGCTGATATTAATAGGAAAGTTTAAGAAATAAGGGAACCAAAATAGCAGCATGTGACTAATAAAATAAACCCTGATACTTCTGGACACAAAAGGTGCATTTACCTTTATTGATCTAGACTGTAAATCAAAAACCCAAAGCTTCTATTGATGTTTGTTGAGATTACTTCTTTTTCCTCAGTGAAACTGCATTCTTATCAAAAACTCAAATAAGGTTAACAGAAAAATATGCAGTCTCTATATCCCTACTTGCAGCGTCCCTATGCTGGATAATAAAACTTCAGTGTTCTAAACATTATGTGGAAACATGCAAATTTTCATAGTATAAATAATATGCAGGTTCTTCACAGGCAAACATAAACACAGCATAACCTTTACATTTTAAATAAAAAAAAGAAATGAAAAACATTTGCACCTTACAATCTAAATAGCTTCTGAATGTAGGTGTGAAAGAAATGGAAAGACTTTACTATCTTCATTCACTCAAGTGTAATTCATTCTATACATCTTTTTTTCTGAAACAATTAGTATTTTCATGCAAGTACTTTTTATGCTATGCCTATGCTTTAAATATAAATTTTATAACAGGTTTTAGAGTTAATCTTTTTACCAGGAGATTATTCCTTATTTAACTGGCATTCTTATACAAACATTACTCAAACACAAATACTTTTTTCTGCCTAACTTCTGTCAGGGCAAAAGAAAATTAAATTGGCATACCCATGAAAGCAAATTTGACATTCACCTCCCATTTAAAGACATAATCCAATCTTGTCTTGCCTCTGTAGGCATTGGACTTCTCTGGAAAGGCAACTATTAGGAAAAAGATAAAAGAAAGAAAAGAAAAAGTAAGATTGTTGATTATAAAGAAATTATAAAGAAATGTAGTGATTTAGACATTGTTTTTGCCAGGCAAGATATGTTTAAAAAGAAGGGGGARGGAGGGGGGAGGAAGGAATTTTTATATGCCATCTTTATCTTTGGGAGCAGGTGAAAAGGAAACACAACAAAACATTTGGAAAAGCACAATGTGATGGCAGAGAAAAGAGAAAGATGAACCCCCCAAAATAGTGGAAGAACAAGAACTTCGACCAGAAGAGAGACTGGTCACTAAAGTAACCTGGCATACAGCATAAATTTGCCAGACTTTACTCTAGAAAAGATGGKAAACAGCAGTGCAACTGTGGAAGGTACAAAAGCAATAGAGTAACCTGAGGAAAATGTTCAGTGGCAGTATAAGTAGTATTTTATGGAGTGTATCTCTCTCTCTGGAGGGGAGTTTCTATCTAAACCATGAATATTGTCAGTAAAACTCGTATTTTCAATACCACAAGGTTATTATAATTTATGTATCTATTTAGAAGGAAATGGTCTCTAAAATTTGTAATGTAGTATTACATATGCTTGGTTGTGAATGGCTGGTGGTCATCTCCATTAGAAAAAAAAWATATGATTGCATCAGGTACTGTGATGCACTCTATTTATGGAGATTGTGGCTATGTGCTTTTCCTATGAAATCAATGGAGATTTTCACTAAAATTCCTTTTTACCTGACAGTCATCTTGAATTTCTCTTACTCCATATTTCTTAGAGCTACCCTCCAAGCTCAAGCCTATGTATGTTTTTTTCAATGGCATTTTACATCTTTTTCYTCTCACAGAGGCCTATTTTCAAAATAACATCCAACAAAACATGTGCCACCCACGTGTGCCTTTGTGTGGTGACATGTACCACACGTTATGGAGGAAACTGCTCTTGCTCCAGAGAATTTGACTACAATCTTAAAGAGCTCTGACTATGACCATCACTTGTATTATGCTTTAGGTAACAACAGTATTATGGATAACAGATGAACTTAATGGMTTGAATTCTGCATGGAAAACATAAAAGCAGGACAGATCCAGTCTCCTCAGGATGGTCCCTGCACCTTCTTTCAGGGGAGAACAATAGTCAAACTGGCTTACAATCCTTACTGGGAATACAGTACAGAAATAGGGAAGTTTACAAAACATTCAGTCATAACTCAAAACTATAAATGATTAACATAAATTACCAATCCTGTGCACACTAGCAGTCTTAATTAGAGTCAGGATTTGTAAATGACTTTCACTTATAAACTACAAGATAATTGCAACATTCTTACACTGTTGTTTCTTCAGGTAGGTAGCTCTTATGCCAAGATTTTCATAGCTTTTCATCACAGATGAATATGTTTATGGAACCTGAGGAAAATCATGTAGATATTCTAAAACTATTGGAACACAAGTACAAAAATTCAAACATTGAAAACTAGAATTCAAATATATTGTGATACAGAAAAGGTCACTCTTTAAGTAGATGGTTTTGACAAGATTTTTAAGCTGTGGATATTTGAAAATTCCACACTAACAATTCCTAACTTTCCTTTTTTTTTTTTTTTTAATACTACTGAGTTGTACCACCTGGACAGAGACATTTAGCTGTGTTTTAGTACCCTAAAAGCTCAAGCAAGCTTTTCCAACTCAACACTTGGCTTTTCTGGACTACTTACTGTTACCTTCAAAAGAAAAATAAATGGGGAAAAAAAAAAAAAAGGGTGCATGTGTGTGTGGCTGCCAGGCTTTGTGCTTCAGAACGCATGACGTTGAAAGTCTGTAACAAATTCAATCTGTGATAAGTTAATACTATTTTCTGGCTCACTAATGGGGCATGCACCATCATGTTTTATATATGCTTATATCACTTACTTTRGCTTAAAATAGTCAATTATATTTTAGAAGTTGTTTTCACTACATTTACTATTGAGCAGCAATAATTTAACAGAGTGCAAAAGTTACTGTTTTTTTATTTCATTTTATTCAACAATGTATTTTCTGTTCCTCTTCTCACTGTAACATCTTTTTATAAGGACCTCAAGATGTCTAAAAGAAAAAAGGGACCTCTACAGCAAGGTAGAAAGCCATCTTAGCCACCGTGTAGGACACGCTTAAACATTTTCACATGAACAAATACCTAACTTCATAGCCAGATTCCAAGCAACTGACTTCTGTCAGGTTTCTGATGAATTGCTTCAATGAAGAATTAATTGAAAATATGAAKGCAATGAATGCAATTGATTTTAAGCTAAGCTACCATAGATCCTGATGATTTACCTTAGTTTTAGCTCATCTTTAGGTTGCTCTCTAAAACACAACATTAATTAAACCACCACAAAACAATCACAGACATTGGAAATCATTTGTTTAAAAATTGTCCRTGAAAGTGTTAGAATAGACCTTGGCACAGGCTTGTTCTCTCCCAGAGAATTCCCAAGCACAGTTTAGGAGTCAGTGAGAGTCGGGAATGGCTCCCAGTGGGCAGTATGATACATGTGACCATCCTATTTTGAAGAATAAAAGGGTTTAATAAACACAGGCATGAAACATTGTGTGGTGAGTAACCTCAGGGCCACAGAGCAATCCCAGGCACATTTAACTTACTGGTTTATAYGTAGCCATGGAGCCTCTGTTGGCTGAGCTGGTTGACACTTCAGTATTTGAAGAATATAAAAAGTTCTGCTTTCTTTTCAGAGCAGCAGTTTTTAAAGACCTAGGCCCAAGAAACTTTTAGCATACATCATTAAGATAATCATCTCCCTGTCTTGCTTCTTCTTCTGACTGGCAAGTTTATTAAAAAGGGAGTGGCAAGGTATTTTAAGCATGATATGATGTTCTCAGATTTCTTTAATCCATACAGCTGTGGCTTTCAGCTTGCTCCAAATACAAATCCTTTTGGCCAATTTTTAACTTCTGTCCTTTGCCAGAAGATGAATGTCCACAGTGACTTGCTGGGCCATGAAGCAAGGTACTGATTCACTTTTACACCTTAAAAGGTGAAGGAAAAAAAACCTGCTAGGATGTTTTTATCCTTATGTCTCAAGAAGGCTCTATACCGGCCCTCATAGCTCATATATGAAGTTGGATAGGATTTGTTATGTAACTGTTCTATCYCTATTAGAAAACATGACAGTAAATTGCTTTCTCAGTGCCTGTCCAGGATAGGAGTTTTAGGAGCATATAGTCATATGCACACAGATGATAATAAAAAAAATATATATATATTTTTTTGAAACTGGGAAGCTACGGCAGGAATCATACCTGCCTTCTTCCTGAAGCTGTTCAACTATGGTAAAGCATATCCACGAAAATCTGTTTCTGGATTTCAGAGTTCTTCCACTGACAATGTGAGATGATCCATCATTTCTCTTACCTACAAAAAGAACCGTTGTTAGGTCTAGTCACRTGGCCCTAATGTAACTTACTGGAACTTTGAAGCTACTTTGGAAACTCATTCAGATGTTTCATTTGGCAAATAAACTCGATGCCTGTCCCATCTAGCCACGTTGACTAAGAAGCCTTTGCAGTTGGCAGAATAATCCATCACTGACCTCTTTTTTTTTTTTTCCTTTTATGTAGTGTGTATTTTATTATTATCTATATATATAGTAGTCTAAATTATATGTTTCATGTTATCCATGTTTTAACTTTATCCAAAATCCCTAGAGCTTTGAATGATCAGAAGGACTGTATTATTCAAGTGAATACTAGAACTTTGTCTCCCATCATTTCTCCTGTCAGAAAACTGGATTTTTACAATTATACATTTTGAAAGATACATCTGCCATATCCTATCTTCATAGGAAAATGAGCACATTTTAAAATTGTAGAACTAGTACAGGTTTGTAACTTGTAACAGAAAAAAAAATGTGGTCATCATCAAGTTGTAACATCCAGCCAAGAGCTGTACAAGTATTTTATTCCATAATCCATCAGCTTCCTTGGCTTTTTATCTGCACCACTGAAGGCATCATCTGACATTAAGGTTTACTTCTYACAATGAATATTCCCCAGGGAATTATGTGGTACTATTATTTACTTTTATGAACCAAAGTCAACGCAAAGAACACATTTTTGTATATATATTCTTATCATACAACATTCATTGTTATATTCTTCCTGCACTCTGTTGTAATCCAGCCTTAATACTAAACTCCTAATACCTTGAATAATTAATGTAGTAATATAATAATCAGCTAGCATCTTAAATTTACATTCATATGAGCTCTCTCCATTTTGTGGAAAACTTTCTTTTAATTGTAAAAAATAGCCACATTGTTAATGCTTCTTGATTTTACTGCTACATCTAGTTTATTGTAAAAATTCTGTCYATAAATATGTATTACCTATAAATTAATAATAAGTAAGCATAAAAATATTTGTGCATATCATCAACAATTTAAAATGTCAGGAACTCGTATGTTAAAGCAGCCCTTAAGGAAACAAAAATGGCAACAAATACATTCTTCCTTCATTCAACTATCAAAAAGTCAACTGACAACAAGCAACCTCTATGAAAACATTGGTACCAGGTGTGCTTTTTATTCTAAGATTAGCATACATAATTTATGAAGCTGAGTAACTGCATCTAACTGTCACACAAGTTAACATCAGAGCAAAGAGGGCAGAGTTCTCCTTGCTGCTTGCAGCCGTGCACACATACAAACCCTCTCTGTAAACAGAGATCTTGACATCTCGGGACCCACTTGTGAACAGCAGAGATGTTCGCACAACTTGCAGTATTTTTGGTGAAACGTGCTTGAAAAATAAATGTATCACTACATTTTCTGTAGAAGATCTCCAATTGCTGTGTTTTAGAATGGCATAAATATACTGAATTATTGTTCCTCTGATGAACATGAAATGAGTTGCATAACAACAGAGTGTGCAAATAGTCCAGTTTTGTGTCAGTCATTTCTTTAAGGCAAGAGAGACATTCTCAGGTCCCTTTCGTTGCATTGAAAAGGCACAGAATGAGGCTCTGGAACTTACCCTGAAACTTGTAGTCCATTTGCAGGACAGTATCGGTGTGAATTTCCCAGGGGAATTCAGGGAGCTTTGCCCTTCTCCATYGCCAGCAGCTCTGTTCAGCCCAGTGTCAGGGCTGTAGGAGCACACAGCTCCTCCCACATAGATTAGGCTACCTCCACCCCATGACTAAGGCCTGGAACAGAAGTAAGGCTTGAAGTATCTTTTGGCATGTTTTCCTGTAATATCCCCCAAATAATTGTTTTTACTCCGCTTTCAGACACAATGGGAAGAACCTGTACATACTGAAGTGTTTTTAGGAACACCTGTGAGCCTGCAGTCAACACCTGTGAGAGGATCTCTGAAGACAGAAAGACTACAGGGCTCTGGAACAACACTTGCCTGAGTGTAATTGGAAAAAAAAAAAAAAAAAAAAAAACCTTTCCGTTGTAAAAGAGATATAGTGGTATCTAATGAACTAAACAATATTTAAGTATTTAATTTTGCTTAAGGAAACAATGTAATTCCTGATTCGCTCATGTGTGATACAACAGCTAAAACAACCAATGACTCAAATTAGTCCATTGCTTTCACGTGCTGGTAATAATAGTACTCAGACCTAACAGCCATTTCTACAGATTACTATAGTTAAAATAGGATTTAAGAAGCATCAGAAAAGAACAGTTACATCCTTAATGGAAAATTCAGGCTAAAATTGAATAGTCAAACAAGCATTTTGTCTTACCGTGATGTTCATACCATCTAACCCTATTTGATATGGAAGAGATGTGGCACTTGAATAAAAAAAAGTTGTTGTAGTTGCAGTTTAACCACATTAAATCCCCAATATTGGAAAATAATATAGACAACTTACTATAATCACATAAAGACTCCATCAACATAAGTTAATAATAAGTTAGAAATAGGCTGAAGTAATGCTTTGCCATGGAGGTTTGCCATTTTGCAATCATATTTTCCTTTAAATTCACAGATGTGTATGTCCGCATATATATGGGTGTGTAAATTCTACACAGGCAATAATGTCATGACCAGACAACTATTCTTCTCACAAAAAAGATGAATATTCTTCTCACAGCCGTACAGAGTTGCAGTATATTAAGTGCAAAGACTTATGAAGTACTTCGTTTAAGACACCAGTAATTTCCCTTTATTTCAAATGGATAATTTGAAGCTGTAAACGCATAAACAAGCACACTTCTGATGCGAGTTAATGTGAAAAGTCCCACGTTTCTTTCTCCATGCACACAAACTCAAGCTCAGACTCCCATGAGCATTGACCCATCGGATACCAGCTCTGCCAGGGCCGAACTGCCGCCTTCTCCAACAGCCATCCTCGCTCCTGGACTTCCAAAGGAAAGCCCGCTTGGAAAACGAGCTTCCATTCATCCAACATTATGAATTTAACCRTTTTTTTCGTTCCCCTCTCTGCAAGCACGAGAGGCATTTTAAACCCATGTTAAAGACACACGGCTCTCGTGAGGAAGATCCTAAGGCCCTGGGAAGATCCAAGCGCACTGGCGCAGGGCACYGTCCCTCCGTGCGAGCCGGAGCCGGTTCGTGTCGCAGCGAGTCCTGAAGCCGCCCGAGCAGCGAGGTTCCCGCGCCCAGCCGAGGATTTCTGCCCGCTCCCTAGGAGCGGCAGACACACGGCGCCGTCCTCACGATTCCCCGCCGCTCTCCCGCGCTCCGGTTACTCACACGCGCGTGCAGGAGGAGGAGAAAGGAAGGAAAGGCGCCCAGGGAGAGTCTCCCGGGGCAGGGCAGCGCTCGGAGCGCGCGCGGGCAGCAGCGGGGCCGGGGCAGCAGC